AACTGCTCACGTACCTCTGGGGTATGAGAACCCCCAGTTGGGGATCACTGCTTTAGAAGACAAGCAGAGTAGATCACTGCTCTCTCGGTTTTACACTCCTGCTTAACTGACAACAAAGGGTTTTAAGGGTTTACAAAGTGGAACCAGGAAATTAAAAATTATTAAAAGAAAAATCTAAACTATTTGTTGTAGATTTCTTTCAGAATGGCAGGAGACAACAGTCGAAGACTTAAGCTTTGACTTTTAGTACATCCAAAAGAAGGCTGATACAGACTAAAACTTCAGCTGTAATGAATACTGTCTCAGCAGAGCTCTGTGCCTCACTGCCTGAATGTGAGAGACCGGTCTCTCACTTCACCTCAGCCAGCATCTGGTTGCAGCTCCCGATCCTGCTTGTCCTACTCGTGTGCTCTAGACTCAAGGACTAGGAGTGGAACTTTTTTGAATAAAAAAACCTCACAAAAACTAGGGAGTCAGACTCAATTTCTGCAGGGCTTAAGAGTCTTCTAGCTTTCTTTTCAGAAAAACCCTCATTTATTAATAATACTTAATAATATCTAATATATATAGGACTTTAGGATTTTATAGCTTTTTACATATAGGTTGGGACTCATGACTTGGGTCATTAAAGATGCTACAGCACTATTCATAAGAGATGGGGTGCTAACCCCAGTGTCCAAGCTCAGTTCTACACTGGGCTTGAACAGCCTAGTTTCCCTCATGTCACCCATGGGATTAAACTGGTGAAGCAGTTTCTCAGTGCTCCCCCGATCTGCTGTGTCATGGTGAAGCTGCTGTCCATCACCCAGGTGTGACCCCTGTAATAAAGGGTGGAGCACTTGAACAAAACGTTTGGTACTCTTTCTATGCTGGAGAATTAACTTATATACGATAACCAGATGCACGAAATGTTTAGCAATGTTGGCAAAACAGACAAACCAGCATTCTGAAACTCTCAAGGTCCAGCAACTGGGAAAGGACAAGCAGAAACAAGGTCGCAATTCGTCCAGGAAACTGCTGAGCGGTAACAGGGTCAGCATAGCATAATTCAATCACCCAGGGTCAAACACAAAACGTTAAGCATAAATCTGTCTTATAATGGCCATGATGGTTGTTTCCTATTTGAGGAAAAACTACTTAGTTCACTCCAATTGTCTATTCATACAAAGCTTTGTATTCACAGGCATAAAATTAAATCTTTTCTGCACAAAAGACCTCTATTTACAGCTCTAATGTGCCTCCACCAGTTAAACAAACTTTGATTTTCCTTTATTTTCATTTAAAATGTAGGCATGTGAGTGATCCTTCAATGGTTGTTGACTAATCAAACATTATTCTGCTCTGCCAGCCTACAGGAAGCAGGCTATTGGCCTACACTAAATTAGTATTGACTTTTGTTTTGTTAATAAATAACTCCAATTTCAGAAATCTGTCAACAAAACTAATAAGCTATTAGTTCGAAATGAACAGGGGGGGGGGGGGACAATCAGCTTGTCAATCACTTTGGGAAGGTCAATTTAAACCTGTTTGCACAAGGTGTTTCCCCAAAGGAAGACTATTGCATACTGAAAAAAATCCAGTTTAATAAACTGAGTACATACCACACATGCACAAACACAAGGCTTTTCTTTGAGATCAAAGACATCATAGAGTGTTCATCACAGCAACAGCCCTAATGTACAATATGTTAGTACGTCCAATACGACTGTATAGGACGTTGCACGGGACTTCCTAAACAGACAGAGGAGTTTCTTCTGACGATCAGTAAACCACTGATCTCATCAGGGCTGTATTTTCATGGAATTAATATGCCAAGTCATTTAGGGATGGTTGTGGCTTTTACAATAACAAAAAAAGGCACTGTTGGTTAATAATAAACATGTAAAGAAAATAAACAGCGTTTCAGCTGTGGAGCTTTCTTCAGGTATGAGAGAGGCAAAATCGCAAGACTTGGTTAACAAGCACTCCCAGTTGTGGGCCCAGCACCCACACGAATAACGACTTAATCAGGCCAGAAGAGAGACAAAGGTATTTTAAAGCTACAAAATAATGGAGTCATTAGATAACTTATTTTAAAATAGCTGTTTTTTGATAACCACATTATATCCCACACTAAATAAGATTTCTTCCTGTTATTTCTTTATAGCAATCCACCACCTTGCTGTTTTTTTTATTTCTTTCCAGACGGAGGTGTGTTCTCGGCGGAGAAACAAGTATTCATGTCAAAATTAATACTCCAGGTAAGTTGGAGCATTAGTAATTCATGCCAGCCTCTGGATTTGTTTCTCGGGAGTGGTCAGGCATTGACAGCTTATTTCTGCATTGTATTAAAACCACACAACCCAACAACAGCAAACCCCAAAAAGGCATCAAGCAGCTCAGGCTGACAAGCAAGGGGTGGAGTTCCACTCTTCAAGGAGTATACTCATGGTTTGACCTATTTATGCACAAAAGGAAAACATAAAATGTACACAAAAGCACACAAAGCTTTGTAGCTTTTTTCCTGTTTTTCTTTTCTTTTTGGAACTCAATTTGACACTGTTGTTCTAAAACAAATAAGTAGGCTCTTGGTACTTTTGGCTAGTTTTCACTTGTTCTGTAAACATGAATAACAGCCAAGATAACATCTCCCTGTCCCAGATCAGTGTCCGATATTATAACAGATAAGTGGATTAAGGAGCTATAAAGACTACCAAAGACCACTCATTTTGTATTCACAGTATAAATGAGGGTTAGAAATTGCTGTAATGTGCTTTTCTCAATCAAGGAGAATTAGATGGAACTATACACAGATACTGCTGATACTGCAGAATATGCAAGAGTTTAATTTTTTGTTATTTGTTATTTTCCTACATCCTAACTATGGAGTCACTCATCTGTTTAATGACTTAGGCTCAACTCTACAGCTCTCCTCCCAGCACAAACCACACGCCTCCTGCAACACCTGCACTGCCAGGCCATCCGCAAGCACACAGCCCGAAGCCAAGCGGCAGAGGCAAGTCTCTGCAGGTTCACAGGTGCGCCGTGCACCAAAAGGTTTGCTGCTCGGAGAATCAAGGAAACCCCAGACAGCCTCACTCTGCTGCAGGATTCCCAGCCACAGCTGCCTTACTGGCATTCCAGCTGTCTGGGTGGACTGCAGGACTCGAGTGGTCTTACCAGTTGAGCCACTCAGAAGACCTACATTTCAAAATTGAAGGAATGCACATACCTACTATACAGGTGCTGCCACTCTATGTTTAATACAAGCAGGGAAACCTGCTCTTGCCCTGAGGCCACTGCTGAACATAATGACGCAAACCTCATGTTTCATAGGGTGCAATTCATTTTCATTGTGACATTGACAGCATTCCTCGGATGTACTTTACCTTTGAATTTGTACTTTGACATTCCTCTGATTTTTCAAAGTCATCTGTGAATTTTCCAGCCTAAAGCACAAATTAATTAGAACTCACTAACTTGCCAGATCTTTGCTGAACTGTTTAATGTATTTTCTGTCGTCTGAATTCTATTTTTTTGTCTTAATACTGTGTAGAATAATTTCTGCATTACATTACTATAGCTTTAAACAGTACTATACTGATGATTCAGAAATAGCCTTAATTATATCTAGAAGCATCTATAAACTGCCATCAATTAATTCCATTAATTCCATGAACATGTGTACAGTACATGCAAACAGTTTAGATACAGGCCATCACCAATTACTTCCAACAGCTCAGTGTGATTTTTGCATGGCTTGTCAGCTTTAATCTCAGCCATATCACCCTGCAACTCACAACTGGCAACCCACTGAAGCTCAGCAGGTGTGAGCCTGGTTAGTACCTGGATGGCAGATCTCCTGGGAAAGCTAAGGATGCTGCTGGAAGAGGCGTTAGTGGGGCCAGCAGGGGGCGCTCACCCTGCGGCTCATGTGGGTCCTAATGCCCCAGTGTGGTGACATGGACACTATACTGTAAACAGGTGCCGTCCTTCGTATGAGACGTAAAACCGAGGTCCTGACTCTCTGGACAGGGCGTTTCTCAAAAAGAGTAAGGGCGTAACCTGGCCAAATTCCCCATCGGCCTTTATCAATCATGGCCTCCTAACAATTCCCCTCTATGAATTGGCTTCATAACTCTGCTCTCCTCCCCACTGATAGCTGATGTGTGGTGAGTGTACTGGTGCACTATGGCTGCTGTCGCATCATCCAGGTGGGGCTGCACACTGGTGGGGGTGGAGGGGATCCCCGTTACCTGTAAAGCGCTTTGAGTGGAGTGTCCAGAAAAGCGCTATATAAGTGTAAGCAATGATTATTATTATTAATCTCATTTTGCATCAAGTGATTACAAAAAGGACCAATGCAGCTTGATAGCAAAAAATTAAGAACTCTCTGCATATAGTGCCAAAAGCAACAATAAATGGTCTTCAATTTGTTGATAAGTTGCTGCCTACAACAGGTTTCATAACCAGCCTGTTTTACAAAACTAGAAAACCCACAAAGTTTCTGTTTGCTTCGTCAGAAGGAAACATGAGGCTCCAAAGTATATGAATGGAGTCCATTTTCAACCCAGTCATACAACCATGGATAGAAAAGAAAACTGAGTCATATAGTGCCGTGATATTAACATAACAGAACTGTGCATAGTAACTTTGTATATTTAACATGCGTAATCATCAGAGTTTTTACATAATAATTGTTTGCTGGGTATCAGATTACAATCTAAACACAGACTTTACCTTACCTGGCACATCTGTGAAACCTAAGATGGTGTATAGTGTTACATTAAGATCTAAAACACTTAAGAGAAAAATTTTACAATAAAGCAAGATTCTGAAAAAGTAATGGAGTTTCACACTATAACTCACTCAAGATCAATGACAGGAAATACAAAATAGAGTAAGTGACTCATTTTCAGTGTCATCTTGCCTAAAATGAGCTCATGGAGCTAATCCCAATCCTTCTCTTGCCCATTGGATTTTCCTGCCCTGACTTTTGGAAGATGAAGGTCTTTCCTTACCAGAGCGATCCCTGATCACCAGATTTCTTCCTTCTTTCAGATTGATGCTCAGGAGATACCCCTTCTGAGGCTGTGCAGACGTAGCCTCGCCGCCTTCTTCAACCATCTGTGACCACAGAAGAAAAGTTCAGAAATTCCGTTTGCTCCTTTCTGTCCCTTTGGTCAGTGCCCACTTTGTGATTAAAAGCTTGAAAAAAGATTGGCCATGGCTAGAATTCTAAAAGCACATCGCCAGCAGCTGTATCAGCCTGCAACTCCCAGCTCACAGCCCACTGGAGCTCAGCAGGTGTGACCCTGGACAGTACCTGGATGGAAGACCTCCTGAGAAAGCTAAGGTTGCTGCTGGAAGCGGTGTTAATGGGGCCAGTAGGGGGCACTCACCCTGTGGTCTGTCTGGGTCCTAATGCCCCAGTATAGTGACGGAGACACTATACTGTAAAAAGTCGTCGTCCTTCAGATGAGACGTAAAAATGAAGTCCTGATTTTCTGTGGTCATTACAAATCCCAGGGTGTTTCTCAAAAAGAGTAGGGGTGTAAAACTGGTGTCATTGCCAAATTTCCCATTAGCCTTTACCAATCATGGTAAATCCTAATTATCCCCATCTCTGAACTGGCTTCATTACTCTGTTCTCCTCTCCACTGAGAGCTGGTGTGTGGGGAGTGGACTGGTGCACTATGGCTGCTGTTACATCATCCAGGTGGGGCTGCACACTGGGGGTGGCGGAGGGGATCCCTTTTACCTGTAAGCGCTTTGAGTGGAGTATCCAGAAAAATGCTATATAAAAGTAAGGAAATATTATTTATTATTATTAAATTCACAACAACACAAAGGGTTAGTTATGACAAGGAAATAAGTTCAAGGCATAACAAAATAGTGGGCTATGAGACTACTATATAATACATATAAAATTCAACATATAAATTTCCTCCGTGTACTTTGAGCAGTTTTATAAATTATATAGCCAAAAGGGAAACAGCTGCACTCAGATCAAGGTAGCTGTGATCTCCAATTCCAATGAAAACAAACATTAATATTTTTTAAGGGTGTCCACATGAGCTGAATGATCCAGTCCTCTGAATTTCTGTATCACATGCAGAGATGCCCTTGGCAGTCCATGTGAAGGGCAAAGCTAAGAGTTTAGGGGTCTCTCGGTATGCATTCTGCATAAACAGATGTGGTTCTTTTACTGGCCAAGAAAAGTTGAATAAGTCTCACTCAAAAATACTGAGGATAAAATCTAATTAAGTTTCAACAAACAGTACTGTACACCTGAGAATTTTCATCCCTTGCACATGTCAGCTCTACTAAATACATTTGTCATGCAATATTTCCCGTTTTGAAAAAAATAATCAGTATCTTCCAGCACCAATCCCAATGTTCTTGTAATCATAATTTGCTTTCAGGAAAAATGCCAAGGTCCTTTACTGCAACTGGACTGTAACCGAATATCTCTTTCATGCCTTTGAAATGTAACCAGCCCCCAATGCAAATCAGAGTAAATGATGAGAAATAAGGGTGTGTTCTAGGCAAAAAACACTGAAAAAGCAAAGATCACAGAAGATTGGTAATCAGCTTTCATCCTTGTGAATTACTACAATTTCCCTTCCCAAAAAAAGAGTTTTTAGGCGAGCTAATGATAACCGCCATTTACTTCTGTTACACTGCAATATGCAGTAATATCAAACCAAATTACGAACTGTTACCTAATGCCTCAAAGATAACTTTTGGTAGAGACAAGGACAGTTCGGTCTCGGAGTACATTATTTTAAATCAGGAGAGAATTTCAGGCTCACTTTAACTAACATGATGAATTTTATATGGTTCACAACATGTGAGATATTCAATGCTCCGTGAACAGTTACGGACATAAGCCTTTTGGCCATGGAGTTGGTTCAATTAAACAAATACAACTTTATAAGACTTCTCAGCAATAACACAGAATATGCACAATATATTGTACGTTCATCCTGATTCAGAAGGATGGTAAAAGACCAAGAAGGACATGGTCACAATGAGCAGAGGTACAGTGTACCAGCGAGAGTGGCAGCATGATGTGCTGCTCTCAGTCCAACAAATGACCTGAAGACCTTTCAGAACTAGCTGTGGTGAAGCACTATATGGTTCCGTATTGGGTCTCTGATCAACAGCTGTCAAGTCGCACAGCCCGGTTTCAGACTGGTGATCCCCAGGTTCAAGGGCTTAATGCTGCAGCTGATAAGCTAACCCTGGATCCCCACCCACACTCCCCATAACCCACCTCGGAATATCTCACGGACACGCGGTTTCATCTGAAAACTGGTTAGATATTTACGAAATATACTCACGTTATTTTCTTCAGCACACTGTGCCGTCTGGCTGTCAAATTCATTGCCAACACTATCCTCCTGTTAAAAAAAAATAATATTTACAAAACACATTCTGTATAATCTGCAAAAAACACTAAAATCAAACAAATGGCGCTGTGTTTGACTTGAGGTTTCTTCTTTCCTGACTGTAAATCAAATTAGACTACAAAATTACTCACGTCTTGCTTTTGCATTTTAAACAATTGAGCCTATTTTCTAATAAGAGACTAATCTTATGTAGCTATCATCAATATCATAATGTAGCCAAGACACTCAAGAGTTTCTGTTTATGTAAAACTCACTCCTAATCTTATTTCTAATTATTTTACAGTTTGTACTTCCAATGACCTTGATTTCAGGAAGGAGCCACATTGCATATAAGTAGTCTTTAAAGATCGATTTGAGCTTCTCAGAATACATTTTTAAACAAAAACAGTCCTAAAACAAGACCAAAGCATGTTATCGTCTAGCAGTGAACTGGTGTCTGAAGCTGTATACTTCTGTGTCCTGAATGGCAGATCAAGCCGATTTTAATGCCGGAGGTAAATTTCCATCACTGTAGGGGGGAATGCACCCTAATCCAGAAACAGTGTTTCCAAAGCCAAAGAATTCCTTTTTTTAAATATTTTCGCTTGCACAAACAAAAGCTGAAAGCTGGGCGGTACAGAAATGAAACTGTGGAAGATTCTGGAAAGGAGAACTGGAAGCATTTCCCTGAGATATAGGGTTTTGGAATTCCTCCTTAACTTCACTGTAAATAACTTGCTTCAAAATAGTTTTTTTTTATATTGACAAAGGAGCCTCAAATGCAATCAAACTTGGATTACACCAAGTCTCCTTTCTTCTATGAAGCTGCAGATGCAAATACAGTATTGTCCCCGGGTATCTGAAATAATATGATTTATTAGATGCAAGATTAAGATTAATGAACCTATTTAAGATAGAAGATTCACATAATATACAGGTCTGTAGCTCTCCACATGTGCAGAAGATATAGACTTTATGTTGGGACCCTTATTCACAAGAACAACCTAACTGCAACTCAAGTCTTCATACAATTTAAAGGGGGGATTATTGACAAAGACTTGCAAATCTCTAAATATTGATTATATTTAAGGAATCACGTGATGAATAATTTTGTTCCAGACAGAGGGGTGGTGATCATGTCATCTTGATAGAGCAAAGCAAACTGGGAGATTTTTAAACCACCCACAGTTTTCCGTTGGCCACTTTTACCACAAAAGGGAAAATAATGGTACTTCAAATCATTGGGTAGGTTGTGGCTTTTACTCAATGCCTGCAAAATACAGCGTAGATTTGGTGGGGGTGGGGTATTTTCTGCTCATCTATAGCTACACTTCAAGGAACATATCAACTATATATTATAGCTCTCTCACTTGTTGTTATAAGGCCTGTTTCTAGATACAAGATAAATGAAATTACTTTTTTTCCAAAAGCAAAACAAAAATCGAAATCAGATGTAACAGATGGTGATAAGGGAAGTGTCCCTCCCCAGATAAAGTACTGCAAGGCTAATTTTTATACTTTGCATGGCACATACTGTAGATCATCACTTATGTGAGTGTTTTCAAATGTCATGAGAAAGTGGTCTGCTGACAGATCTTAAAAAGCGCACCGTGCCAAGTGAAAACAGTGAAAGACCTAAGACTGCATGGCGTGCGGAACAAAACAAACAAGCCCGTGAACAATCGTGATGTAACACGGGTATAAAAGCTCGAGTTGAAAGTTTCTGTGCTCACGGGGGCAGGACCATCTAGCAGGAAGTTCCAGAGCTGCGTGTCAGTAAAACAAGGCAGTTCCTCGAGGCTCCGTTTCCCTCTTTCAGGGACTTGGACGTATGACTCCTGCAGCTCTAAATGCATAATACTACAATTCACGCTGGGAGGTCAACGCACTGAAGTTTTCAGTGTAATTTAGATACAGTATCTAAATCTTTTGAACATTGCCGCGGTTCATGAACAAGAGCTGGGCTTTCGTATTTCCTCTGCCACAAGTAAATTATGTAAACCAAGCACGCACATCAGCACCGTGGATTCTTAATCACGCACAAGTGCTGCTGCTCACCGCGTTACTAAACTCCACTAAAAGCAATCCAATTCACAAGTCTAAATCCATTATGGCACCCTCCTGTATAACCTATTTACACTACAGTGAGCAGTACATAACACAGCACAGACACCTTTAATGCACACTGTCTGAATGCTTGAACTGGGGGAGTTTGTGGAGCTTGTGGCAACCTAGATGCCTCTTTAAAAAGTGCGCTCCTTTTTAATTCAGTGGATCATTTGTACACGACGCACTTGAGCTACAATGCTATACAGGTGTAAACCCAGCGCCGAGCGACCACGTTCCCTGCCGGTGTTATTCAGGAACTGGTGACTTTGAACCCCCCCGAGCCAAAAACTCATTGCAGTCCTTAAAATAAAGATTTAGGAAATTCTGGGGTTAGAGATTAAACAACAGTTTGACCGTCATTCCCATGCTCTTCTCTATACGGGGAAAAGCCGTACCCTTGGATAATGACTACTCACTCCGAAGTGGGCTACACTGTGACCAGACAGATCTGCAGTGGCAGTGAGTTCTGAAACAATATGCAAAACTGACTCATATAGTACATTCCCCGAGTCTCAATAACTAAGGGACACGTCCTATTACATTTTCCGATGCAGGAAGTTTAATTTTCACTTTGTTGTTGTTATGCATGCATACACATCCTATTTGCTGAAGGAGATAAAGGGTACTAAATACATATTTATTTATTTTTTTTCTTGGCAGACCTACATTATACAACCATTGTAAGCAGTATAATATGTTATGAAAACATAACTCACAGCAGCAAAATCATTATAAAGATTTCTTATGGATGAGAACTAATAATCAATTGGTCATTAGATCATAGGCAGCAGTGAGATAAGATATTCCTCAAAGGAAGTACAGTGACGTGATTTTAAAAGACTGTACTGCTCATCCCTACAATGCAATACCACAGTATACTCTTGTGGCATGGAATAATAAGTAAAAGGCTAGTACAGCCACATTTTGCTCCAGGGATAATGACTGTCGAACCTGGACCTGGAGTTAAATACAGAAACCTCTTCAAACACAGGCAGCTTGATCACCGTTTGAACACTGTTAGATCAGTGCATGACTTCTCCTTGGCATGATGATGCTGGTGAGTTCGGCCACTGTTCAAAACCTGTTAAGCAAGGTAAACCCAGTTTGTAGTGTGAGGCACAGTGAGAAAAGAACCAAATGGTGGTCTAATTACTATCACAGTTTGTGCAGAAGTTCCATTTCACCTGTATATTGTAATATAATCAATGTAATAGTTAAAATAGGTAGGAAGACAGGGTAGACAGCAAAGATTAAATAGAGATGCCACTTCAGAGAACATGTTAGAGCTAATAATAATAATAATAATAATAATAATTGCTTACACTTATATAGCGCTTTTCTGGATACTCCACTCAAAGCGCTTTACAGGTAATGGGGATCCCCTCCACCACCACCACCAATGTGCAGCCCCACCTGGATGATGCGACAGCAGCCATAGTGCGCCAGAACACTCACCACACATCAGTTATTAGTGGGGAGGAGTGCAGAGTAATGAAGCCAATTCATAGATGGGGATTATTAGGAGGCCATGATTGGTAAGGGCCAAGAGCTGTGAAAATTAAAGATTTCTCCAAGCCCATAGTTTCTCATTTCACCTCAGAAGGCCATGATCACACTGATCTCTCCATCTGCGTTCTCAAAGAAGGGTTTCTTAACTCCTATAGCAGAAAGACAACAGAAACTAAACTCATCCTAAAACTTGGTTCACACCTTTCCCCTTCTCTCAATGACAGACTTATTTTCGTGTAATCTATATTCTCATGCAGGTTTTGACCTCTCACCTTTCTCCACTTTGCACTTCCTGAGTGGCCTCTCTGTCTCTCCCCTCTCTCTCCTCCTCCTCCTCCTCCTCCACTTTTCCAACTTTTGCTCTCCTGTGCTATTTACTCTTTGCTGTCTACAGTCTTTCTCACACCTGAGGAAGGCTTCCCAGTCAAAATGTTGTGTTCCCTTTCTTTTCTTTTCAGCATGGAATAAACCCCTTACCTGCTCCTAATCAATGTAATGTAATTGTCATGTATCACCATAATTGTATTGCCATCAGTACAGTATTTATTAAGCTTGGAATCAGTCGTTCTAACAGTTCTTGGGTAAATGTTTAGCCATGCAGGTGATGACCAGTTACAGCTGTATGAGCCAGAGAGAAACCTGCAAAATGCAAGTCTGAAGCAGGTTGAGTCTCAAGGAATCTGCCAATTATTCACTAGGAGCAAACACATTTTGGCCAGTGAGTACTTTAGAGGTCCTGGTGTTGGAAAAAAAAGCTTGTAAAGGATAACAAACACCTCCTGCAAACAAACTGAAAAAAATGAATGGATTTCTAAGGCTTTTGGAAGTGACAACTGAAGCATTTTTAAGTATCCAGATACAATGGGTAACACCTGGCTGTTGACAACATTTCCCATTCTTGGGAGTTTCAAAGCAAGGAGATGTTTGCTGAGATGTAGGGGGATCTGAGATCAGTGATCCAAGCAATTGTGAACTTTACCTCCATTTACCTTAGTTAATTCCAACTTCTTGGTAAATCATTAAGAGTCACCAACAGTGCAGGAACACAGCATAAACACAGGCAGTTAAGGAGAAAGGGGGAGAGAAGAGAGAAAGACAAAAGGCCTTGTCCAGATCACCCATAAAAACCAGATTAGAGTTGGGTACTTGAACCCTTTTAAGAGAGATTGACATTCTGTTATTTTTAGGAAACTTTGATCCCCCATGGAAATAATCTCTCAGTTAAATAGTTTTTCCTGGTTAGTGGGTGAAGAGGGAGAAGAGGATAGGGAGATAGTTTCCTATTCATTTTGTAGTGCCCAGGTTTATAGAGAGAAAGATTTAACTGTATATTGTATTCTGTTTATTTCAGAAGGCAGGTTTCTCTCTCTTGTTGGCCCGTGTAGATGTGATGTATAAGGGTTAAATACCAGGTAACATTCTGGGGCTTCTGGGCTTTTGTTGGTAGGTCAAGACGTCTGGGACACCTTGTTTGTTTAATGTGTAAATAGCTTAACTTGTGTGCTGAATATTTTATGCTGCATGTTGTTAAGCATGTATTATTAATGAATAAAATTAATGTAAAATTATAACACTTTTCATCAAAGCTGTGCCAAAGAACAAAGAACTCAGAACTCAGGTGCCTCTAGAATTATACCATTTAGGTATATTCTTGGCAATATAATTTACAAGTTGGGGGTTATGATTAATTAATTTAATTATTGATTACCCCACTCAATTATTTATGATATTCACTATTTTCATAACCCCAATTTGTAACAAAATATAATTCCCTAATCATGATGGGCCATAACAAGATTTAGATTAACACATCTGCTGTAAATCCAGGTTAACATGTGGTATTCATGATGCACAACTGCTGTTAAGCCCTATGCATTACAATTCCTGGGTCAGAAAGGCTTTGCAAACACTTCTAGATAGAAGAGAACGTCCTTTGGCACAAATGATGGATTTGGGGGTTTATCATTTTGGACAGGTTCAATGTCAGACGTTTAACCTTCATAATGCATGATAGAGCTGTATTTGCCAGGGCACTGCATTCCCATGGAACATTCAGATAATGAATGGAACCAGGTCCCGTGCGTGATGCTGAGAAATGGGATTCCAGTGTATGCAAGAGATTAACTAACGAAACCTCAGAGCTTGTTCCTTCCCCACCAAGTTCTTTTTTTAGTTGCATAATTCATGAGGAAACTGACAAAAAAATGAAATATAAAATCAGGAAGGACTGCACTAACCTCATTCTAACCAAACATTTGTCAAAGGCTGGAATTCGCAGCTTGGTAGACCACATAATTTTCCTGTACTATCCACTGAAAAACAGATAAAGCAAATAAGCTAAAAAAAAGGTTACTGTGCTACTAGTTTAGTGAGATAAGGTGACATTATGAGACTGTAATTACCTGATATGTAAAGGATTTCCTTGAATGTAGCACTGTGTTCCTAACCTTTAAATTTTCTTGTTCATATTTGTAGCGTGGTGAGAGGCAAACCTTGTGTGCACACAGAAGATTTGCAATAGCACTGGTTTGAGTGTGAACCTTCAAGAGTCTCCTCCAGGTTAGCCCCCTCAAAATAATCACAGCTGCTTTTAAAACCTTTTCATGTAGGGTTTAAGACTGAACTGTGGATTACACTAAATAATTAATCCCAGGTGAATAGGAAAGAAGGTATTTTATTATTTTTCCCCCTTACTAGAAAACAACACTCCAGATTGACACAGAAAGCTAACATGGTCCTGCTTGAGGTCCTGCTCATCCTTATCAACTGGTGACATGTCCTTCACACAAGCAGCACACTGAAAGAAGAACGGCCCTGTCTGAAGTGTGGAAAGTCTGAATTCTACGCAATCTCAAGAAATGCAAAATGAAAGTGATTCTGACCTCTGTTACTGCTATGGCGGGCACTCCTGAGCCCCGTGGCAGGGCAGGTCCTGTAGTGTCACTGTCCTTGAAGTCCATGTCCTCCAATGTGTAGGACAAGCCATCCTCCTCGGCTATCGTCAGTCTGTCCTGCATGGACTCCGTGGAGGCCCAGGTCCTCATTTCCGCCGGCACGGCCAGCTCGTGGGCCACAGCAGCAGCGGCGCTGCCGCCGTCGGTCGGGGCCTTATCCAGCCCGAGGGAGTGGCAGCTGTAGAAAGGGCTGTTGAGGCCCGACAGCTGGGGACCCGCTGGCCCATCTCTTTCAGAGGACAAGCTCTGCGCGACCGCCAGGTCCGGCACCGAGACACTCTTTCTCCGGTCCAGAACCCGCTTCTTCCCGACCTGCAGCTTGGAGGTGTGCTTCTTGCCCTTCACGATGTTGGAGAAGAGAGGTTTCGCCTTCTGGCAGAAATTGCTCCACGCGGTAGTCTTGCTGGACTCCATCGCGGAGAGGGGACAGTGAAAGTGCTTTGGTGACCGTCAAAACGTTTTCGTGCTGGACCACTCGCTTAAGAAACACTGCAGGGGTGGAAAAGACAAAATGCCAGGATTTATACACATCTTTGTGCCCAGTGAAGATATTTATGCTGCTTCTGAGTTACAAGTTGGCTGTTTTCTTTAACATGGCTAGAAAATCTGGAGGACTAAAAAGGCATTTCTCCTACAATTAAATTGCAAATGTTACATTCTCAACAACTCAAGGCAATAAACCTGAATGGCTACAAGAATAAATTAGATTTACATGCATTTACATTTGAAGTTAATATACTGTGAGTCAGCTTTTTAGAACTGAGCTTTTAATTCACTGGAAAAGAGAATCTTTACTCATTTTCCCTACAAACATGAAGTGAAAATCAAGCATTATTTGAAACACAGAGCTGAACAAAGATCAGTGAATTTGTACGTAAGGAGACCAAATGAAATTGTGACATTAGCGAGTAGTTACTACTGTATGATAGAACACACTATGAATGAGCTAACTGTAACAGATGTTACAGGATTTATCAGTGCCTTCCATCCTACTTCAGTTCAGTTACTAACTTTTGTGGTTTCAAGAACTTGATCTTCAAGAAATCTTCATCGTGGCTTTAATGGCGACTGCTATAATATTTGGGGTTGATTGGGATTTTCTGTTGCCCAGCACTATGGAAAAGAAATGCACTAAGGCTATGTATTGTATTCAATATTAAGATTGAAACAACACAGGACATGTGGGACCGTGCCCTGTGGAGCCTGATGCACATGTAGTAACAGTGCACACCTTGTGTGTTCTCACGGCTCTGCTGTTTCACTCTTCAGAAGCATGTTAGCCCAAGGCTTTCCCATCCTGGTTCTCGTGACCCCGGTGTCCGCTGCTTTTATTTCCACATTTGTCTACGGAAATTTAAATGTTTAAGCTCCCAGAGCTGAAAAACTTTTGACTGGCGAGTTTCTTCTTAAATCTGTCCAATTGAATAGCCCAGATGGAACTAAAACTAAAACCACCAGACACAGGGACTGACAGGGTTTGGAAACCTTCTGTCAATCGATATATCACAACCACCACGTGACCTCTCACTGCATTGCCCTGTAACAGAAACCACTATTTCTAATAAGCTGCAAAGGAGCAAGTAAAGATTTTTTCCATGCTGAAAAGAAAAGAGACACAACGTTTCAGCTGTGGAGCCTTCTTCAGGTGTCAAGCCTACACACGCCGACGCAGCCTTGTTACTGAGGAGAGTAGCAGAATACACACTACAACAAGCAAGTAAGACCTAAGGCTAGCAGCCAAAAATACATTTATCAATGTGCTGCAACCAAAATTTCAAGCATCATTTGAAGCATGCTGTAGTGATAACGTTTCTGAAGTACATGGGAAACAAAAAAACTTTAAGACTTGAGGGCAGAGCAATAGTGATGCTTGTGAAGGAGAAAAAGAGAAAAGACGTACATGCCTCAGGTTTGTGCAGTCTGTTGCTCTCTGTTAGATATACAGCCTACATGTAGGAAATAGTAATAAGATATGCAGACCAACTTCAAAACGACTGGGCTGCGTAAAAAAAAGGTTTTGTGAAAAAAAATAAAGCTTTTCAGCACTCCACCCTTTCTCAGACATGAATAGAGTTCAAATATTGAAATCCTGCAAGGTATTGACACAGCCAAGTCAGCCAAACATGGCTTTCTCAAGCATGACACTGCACCCAGGACACAGGAGGCCTGCCTCTACACAGAGAGGCACAGCTGTGCGCCATTGGCCACCCTGTTGCTCTGTCGAGACAAACGAAATGGGATCCTTCCAGAATGGTTGTGCGACAACGCAACTAATAACCAAATGAGGAAGACGGGCACAATGGCCTTGTCTGCTTTAACATTCCTCACATTGTTCCGAGTTCATAACGCACTGCTACACTGGAAAGAAATTCATTGGTGCTACGCACGAAATTGTTGACGGTGATAAACACAGACGTAATGTCTCTAACAAAAGACAACCTTTGTCTCGCTTATGACAGGTGTCTTCTGACCAAGCATTTGCTAGTCAGGTAACAGCAGCAAGGGACTCTTCACATCTCGCAGCCCACAACATTTCCAACGAGCTTCTTCAAAACTGGGGCTCTGACGTTAAGACGCTCATTTGCATTCTCACATTCCTAGCTTTGTACACGCAGTGTTTCAAGATCTCCTTCTGAAATAAAAACCAGTTCATTAATCCATTCATTCATGTCACCTTGGGACAGGTTCTCATTTCACAAGGAGAACAAGCCTTTCCAGAACCCTGAATCCGTGTCAGCCAAATGATCATGTAGGCCTCAGACACAAACATATCCAAAGAGAAACACAAAGAGAAAAGATAAAATCTTTTAATCCTTCTTCTGAATCTAGATCATTTTCAAAATTGTTTATTAATATATGTATTAATTATACAAACAACTCATTCAGCCCTATAAGGGCTCATTTGAAACAATGAGCCCAAAAATGTTTTTAAAGAGCCATATTCAGGTCTTTTTAATCATGTTCCCCACCTCTGAAAGTCCCAGATACCATTTCTGATGTAGTGAGGAATGAGGAACAGGTAAAAACAGCAACAGCCCCAAAGAAAAAGAAAATGTGTTTGAGCACCTAAGTAATAAACAAATTGTACACTGTTAAAGACCCCTGTAAAAAATGAATAACACCATGACTAACACCAGCAATGTGGACACCAAATGGTCTCTAAAGTTTAATCAAGTAACTACAATGGCTATTTCTTCATTGTCATGACCAAAATCTCCATAGAAGTGACAGGACTTGCATTAGCAGCGAGATTAATTTAGAAGGGTGTCATTAGTGATTTGATTGCAATAATTAAACCAATGAATCACACCTATTTTGCTTACAAAGGCACTCTAGTAAAAAGTCCTACAGTTTAGATATAAATGAAAAAACTGCCACATACAAGGATGGATCTATAGCTGCTAAGGAATCCGACTCACACATGCTGTGCTGATAAAATACAGCACATACTCATGCCATGAGATAATCACAGCATAAAACTAAACTATGGACTTTATTTTTTATAGATGCCAACCTTAAGTGATATAGCTCACTCCAAAAACAGCCAAATTTACCTTTGACAATTTTATAAATGTCTAAAACGTGGACCCACAGAGTCTGACAGAGACTCATCTGTTTCCTGTCTTATAAGACTACTGAAGAAAAAAGAAAGCCCACCATTTGACTTTTGTAACTAAACTAGCAACCGACACTGATGACTTTTGTTCCTAAATGACTGAACAGATAACTCCTTATCACCTTATCAAAACCTAAATCTCTTTCAGAGAATTTATTATTACTGAAAACTGTAATAAAAAGGCAGCAACACAGCAGTCCTACAGTATATCAGCGCTCACACCAATGAATTTAAACAAAATTTAATTTAATTTGGATGATAACTTCTGTCTTCCCCTCACAATGTCATAATTGTTTCCAGCCATTCTCCAGAGCTATCATTCACACCTTTGTGGAAAAAAAGAAAAGCTGACAAGAGATTGTTCTGCTTTTTTTACAATCAGTTACTGAAAGATGAACTAAAAACACTTGGCAGTCACTGGGATGCTCGCAAAAAAAAAAATTGCGTCATGGTACGAAAACGGCCTTTCAAAGACTACTGCACATGTAGGCAAGACCAACTTTTTTATTCAAATGTAGGAACAATTTCCTTCATTGAAACTGATAAAAGTGGATGAGTATATTGCTGAATTCAAATGTCTCTTGGTAAGATGTGCTAATAAAAAATAGATAAGAAAACAAGAATAACCTGTCCTCGTGTTTTAAGATGTGAAGAACGGAGAGGCAGCAGCAGTGCTGGTGTGAATGATGAAAACAAGCAATGATCTTTTTTATACGGAGGAAGGAAACCAGTTCAGTCTGCTACTGAGCTCCTTAATTGTAACCAGAAGATCTGCAGTACTTACTTAAGTCTGGCGGCACCATGGCTGCAGAAGAGACTGTTATTGTTTCAATTTGTTCACACTGAACCGTGGAAATACCCTAGCGATACTAGTCCGTGCATTAATAAATAAACCTTGATTGATTGTAAGACTGCAATGGCAAAGTTTTCATAAGGTTGGCAAAGAGATACTCTAAACCGCTATGACTGACAACTAACTGGAATATTCATACCCAGCTTCTTTAAATCATTACTTCAGATAAGGCAATAACAGTTTTAGTATACAGACATCAGTCAGTGAGACTGGCAAAGCACATGAGGAGGGCAGCAATAAAATGTACAACTTCAAAGCAGAATTCATTCATATCCTGTGTACATGACACCGGTTGCTGGTTTTGCCTGGTTCAAAACAGCTTTGGGATTACCTTATGAGCCGAGCTGGAGTTATTAGTATTGAGTATTACCACAGGCAGGAAAACCTCAACAAATCTGTGGAAAGATCATTTACTGTGGCATCCAACTGCACCAGAACAAAAATACTACATAAATACATGGGCAAATGAATCATTTAGAGTGATGGAGCAGTACCGCAGTTTGAAAAATGAAGACTTACAGTAATTTCTATTCTCTGGACTTTCCAATAGCTCTTCCTCCCAGAATATTAGAGAAGGTAAGCTCCATACAAGCAACCCATCACGTCCATTACAGTGGAAATAGTGTAAAGCAGTAGCAGACAAGGCTTTTCCCCATGTGCGCTACCTGTTCTGCAAATGTCTGCTCAAAGCCTTCTCTTTCTTATCCCTGCAAAGGTGAGGTAAAAACTAGAATGCCTTCAGCAAGATAAGGATGTTTCATTTAATATGCATTTGTTTTTCTCAATAAAAAACCTCCTGGGACAGTCAGGTCAGAGGTCTGTATGCATTTGGATAAGAGCAAGAGTAGCATTTGAAGTAAGCCATGTTGCTAAACTAACAGGAAGTTGCCGTATTTCACAGAGCTTGTATACATACTCCAATCCTTATTTATGCATGCTTAAATATGCAGGGATGTTTCTTCGTGAGCCTTAGGCTAAAATCCAGTGCTGTGAAAGGCAATGGGACAGGATGTTTTCTGA